CCTTCTATGATTACAACTGCTGCAAACCTGGAAGGAAAGGAATTAAGTACTGAGGCAATTAAAGCTACAAGTTTCTGGCCAAAGAAATGTCCTTCTGCTACCTGTGAAGAGACTAATTCAGAGACTTATAGGAGAAAAAAATGAAGCAGGCTGAGCGTTGGGAGCTGGTGGAAAACACATCTGTAGCCTTTTGTTTTATGGGCAGAGGACTTTGCTTAGCATCTGTCACCCACATAGTCCCACTGCGGTGATGGAGGCTCACATGACATATAGATCCAGCTGCTTGCTTGGGCCTATCTTTGTTTTCAAGCAGCTACTTCACTCCTCTGTCTTACTGGTATGATTTTTGACAGCAGCCACTGGTGCTGGATCAGCCATTTCCTGCCAGTGAGTAACCAGGAAGCAAACATTTCATTTGCTGAAGTGCCCCAAAGGCTGTCGAAGCTGCTCTGCAATAAAACACTCCTCGTCCTGTGACAGAGTGTGCTGTGAACAAAGTTCCATACATCTCCTATTTAAACAAATTGAACCTGAAGAGGCCACAGGGACACAGACAGGGGAGATAGCAGGCATAAGGCTCGACGTCTTCCTATGGCTGCTTGAAGTAACCATCACAGAAACTTCCATGGATTTTCTGCTCTCTTTCCTTGCTCCAGTGTCTGGATGGAGACTGAAGGGAGGCTCTTTCTGCCCCTTTAGGTCTGCCTTTCTCAGCCTCCCACTACCCTTGTAGCTTCCTCCAGCCCTGCTTGTCTGAATACCTCCTTCATCTCAGGTTTTCAAGTCCTCTATCTAGCCCTTTCTTCCCATGCTTACCACCAGTACTTTGGGCAAAGACACTCAAGTTGTACCATATAGTTAGCTGGTGCTCCACGAGGCGCTTACCAACTTCCAAAAGCATGGTCTGGTAATGTAGCACTTACCCTTCTCCTTGTTTCCCTCTGTTACAATCATGCTAAAAGCAGGTAAGATGACCTTCAGTAGTTCCTTTTACTTTCCTACGCTGTAAACACCACAGATATGGTCCAGGAGGGGAGGCAGCACAAGGAAATCATGTGCATTGGGTGGTCTCTGTATGAAAACACAGCCCTGAGCTGGATGCAGCCACTGCATGGCTTGGAGAAGGGGGGTCTGGAGGACCTGTGTCATGTCTCTGCCAGGTGGCTCAGGTTTGACTCCGCAGCGTGTTAGCTCCCTGGATCAGATTGCCCTTTGCAGTATGCTGTGAAGACATTTCAGAATCCCTGATAACTGTCCTCCAGGCTGAGTGATGTGAAACATTCCCCTCTACTGCACATTCCAGATTAAAACCTCGCATCAAATACAGGTATCCTCAGTTCTTTTTAACAGGGGAAAAAAAGAAAAAAAAAAGAAAAAAAAAGAATCCCTACAATTAAAACAAGTTTTAAAATTCAAGTATTTACTATGTTCTGAAAGGGATGTGGAAAAAAAATTATATGCAATGTATTTGCCAACAAATGTGAACTGGAAGCCAAGGTACTGAGGGTAAAGGAGTGGACTGACTGAAAAATCTGTGAAAAGTTAGTGCCAATGCTAAGAGCTGAGTCTCAATGAAGCCCTGCAGCCAAATTTATCCCCAAAAGCCCAGGGGATAACTGAATGGCTTCATCTTTCTTAACTGCTGTGGTCCAGCCTAAATCCCTCCTTTTTAGGACACCTTGAGTTAGGTGAGGATGCAGTCTGAGTTTCTAAGTTTGCACCTTTTCCTGAACTAAGGCCCACTCCAAGGAAGAGTAAAGCAGGCTGGCCCTCCTGTCAGACTCACAAAGGCCCTACAGATGGTTTCAGCCCATCTACTGCCAGAGGACTCCTGGGCAGCCCCAGTCACCATGCATGGCCATGCCCTGTTCAAGGAGGGATCCAAGGAAGTCTGCACCACTGGAGTCAGGCTTCTCCCTGCAGTTCAGGTTCACATTTAAACATATGTGTTCAGGACAGGAAAGTTTCTGCTGGCTGGCCAACTCTAAGATGGATAACTTCAGCAGAAGTGGAGCCACTAGGATAGGCACAAATGCAAACAGAGCCTTATAGAGTCAAGTTTCACCTTTCTGAGGTCTTCATCTGAAGACCAACTCAGACCTGTACAATTTTAAACTCCCAGTGATTTCTGTGCTGTAATTCCGAACAGCATCGCTCACTGTTGGTGCCAGACATTGGGCTACATCACATCACAGTTCCTGATGCAAAGTAGGTAAATGGCCAAGTGCACAACAAGCTTTTCCTAGGAAAGCAAGAACATTGGACACAGCAGATAAACTTATCCCAGCAAATGTTTGGCAAACAGAAGATCTAGCCCTGCTGCTAACGCAGGTAATGCGGAGGGAGGACTACAGGTAACCAAGAGGCCAGCAGTGGTTAAAGCCTTCAAGAAACCACATGCAGGAAGAGGTGAAACCTTTCCACTGCAGCAGAAAAGGAAGGGACGTGGGTCAGCCTGTGTGGAGGAATTCAGATCCTTCCACACTGGCTCTGTAGTGATTAGCTTCACCTTGGCAGCAAAGAGGCTCACTTAAGGGAGAATCAGTTCATGGCAAATAAAAGGTCTTTGTCCATCCACATAAAGCAAAGCTGAAAGATCAGGGAGCTCAGAGGGATGTGGCTTTGGGTCACTGGGTAGCAGCCATTCCACCTGTCTGCAGCAGTTTTCCTCAGCAGTGTTATAAATAAGGCATTTCCCAAGTCAGCATTTATAATCTGACCATGACCAAAGCCTACCTTGGGGACTTTAGACTGGACCCTGTATGCAACACCTGTGGAGGAGGGAGTGTGGCTCTACGCTGGCTCCTTCTCCAGGATAAAGCTCATCCCAGGAACAAATCTGCATCAAGGCCCAAGGAACACCAGCCTGCAACAAGCAGCTGCTGATGCTTCAGAGGAAGGTGTGGGAGCAGAGAGGGCTGGAGCATAGAATAGAACCTGTGTAAGGCACTCAGCACCCTTGGTTAGTGAGGTGTGTGACCAAGTTCTCACTTTTGCATCCTGTGGTTTGTGTTGCAGGCTGCTGCAATGTAGGCACCTATAGTTCATTGACAGGGAACTGCTGGAGAGAGTCCAGCGTAGGGCTACAAAGATGATTAGGGGAGTGGAGCATCTCCCTTATGAGGAAAGGCTGAGGGAGCTGGGTCGCTTTAGCCTGGAGAAAAGGAGACTGAGGGGTGGCCTCATCAATGTTTACAAATATGTAAAGGGTGAGTGTCAGGAAGATGGAATTAAGCTTTTTTCAGTGATGACCTGTGATAGGACAAGGGATAATGGGTGCAAATTGGAGCATAGGAGGTTCAAGGTGAATATCAGGAAAACTTTTTTTACTGTGAGGGTGACGGAGCACTGGAACAGGCTGCCCAGAGAGGTTGTGGAGTCTCCTTCACTGGAGTCATTCAAAACCTGCCTGGACGCCTTCCTGTGTGATGTACTCTAGGTGACCCTGCTCTGGCAGGGGGGGTGGGCTGGGTGATCTTTCGAGGTCCCTTCCAACCCCTATGATTCTATAATTCTATGATCCTTTTTGTTATGGGGTTTGTAATGTGGAGAGGTTTATCCCTGGGATAACTCGAGATAAACTTGCAGCCTGTGAAATGTGGGCAATTTAGCATGGGACACATGGGCTGCACAGCTTGATCCACTTCTGTAATAAGTATATTTGCCTCCTGCTAAGGTGTTTTAACCAAGGTCAGTGGAAATAAACACTACGTCCGGGCAGCTTGAGGCAATTAGCAGAAAACATAAAGAGAGCCAATTTGCCCAAGCTGGGCAGATCAGGAAATGGCAGGCCTTGCAAGTCTGTGGCTAGAAGG